CATGAGCTGGATGAACAGGATGGAAAACAGCAGAGATCCAAACTTGACAGCTACCTGCTCACCAATAAAGGGGGAAGACCCCGTCAGCACCTGCTATCGCTAACACGTCGGGCCCAGAAGCATCGGCTGAGGGATATGAAGAACCAGCTGAAGGCATTTGCAGATAAAGAGGAAGGTGGTGACCTGAAGTCTGTGTGCCAGACTCTGTTTCTGCTCGCATTGAGGTCTGGGAATGAACACCGGCAGGCAGACGAGCTAGAGGCCATAATGCAAGGTAAGAGACTATTATAAGGCTTTTGTTTAATGAACCCAAAAACTCTGCAGCCAAGACACAGACAAAAGAAAATTATGAAAAGTATTTTCTCTATAATATTTCCGCCTATCTCTAAGGAATACAGTCATTTTATAAATAACAATGAGTTATAAAAGTTCACTTTTGAAGAGGGAGAAACATTTTTCTGTGATATTTGATTGAAAAGCATTTCATTATTGTCTTTTTATTGAAGCGTCACGCTGTTTGACGCTCAACCCCTCCCTGCTTTTTTTTCTTTCTCACTCTCTGCCTGCTTGTCCGTCAGTCTCTGAGTCTCACACTCCCTTTAATGCACAATAACAACTCTTGTGAAGGGGCTGTTAGAATCAAAACAACATCAGCAGCTCTTGTATCTGCAAATTACACAGACAGCATCATCCTTCTCTCTGGGGAATAGAAGCCAGCTGGTGTCTGTTTTCATCTGCAGCCAATACATCACTTTTGCCAGCTTTACTCATTCACCCTCTGTCCCCTTATAACATTTGGAAATTAGGAAATATTGAATTTTCTAATCATGGGCTCGAAGGCTTTTGACAATGTTACATTTACATTTGGTTGTTACATTTGTGATTTTCTCAGTCTTGTATTATAAATGACTCGAAATGTGGGATATCAAATGAGGAAATGTTAGATACTCCAGTTCTTTTCAAAGCCGTATAAATTGGCTTCCACAGTTTGGTGTTAAACAATTCTAAATCTGTTCCTCTTGCACATATATATTTATTTATTTTACTTTGCCTCTTTGTGTCTCCCTCTGAAACGTTATATTTTTCCCTTTTCTATCTTCACAGGCAGAGGGTTTGGGCTGCATCCTGCTGTGTGCTTGGCCATTCGGGTCAACACCTTCCTGAGCTGCAGCCAGTATCACAAGATGTACCGGACTGTCAAAGCCACCAGTGGCCGCCAGATCTTTCAGCCGCTGCACACCCTGCGAGCTGCAGAGAAGGAGCTTCTCCCTGGCTTCCTCGAGTTTGAATGGCAGCCAGCTCTCAAGAATGTGTCTACATCTTGCAATGTTGGCATTATTAACGGGCTCTCTGGATGGACTTCCTCGGTGGATGACTTCCCAGCTGACACCATCACTCGCCGCTTTCGCTACGATGTGGCTCTGGTGTCAGCATTAAAGGATCTGGAGGAGGACATCATGGAAGGGCTCAGAGAGGCTGGTATGGAAGACAGTACTTGTACCTCAGGCTTCAGTGTCAAGATCAAAGAATCCTGTGATGGCATGGGCGATGTCAGTGAGAAACATGGCGGGGGACCAGCTGTCCCTGAGAAGGCTGTACGTTTTTCTTTTACTGTCATGTCTGTCTCTGTCAAGCCAGACAACGAGGAGAAGGAGGTTACCATTTTCACTGAGCCCAAGCCGAACTCAGAACTGTCATGTAAGCCCCTTTGCCTGATGTTTGTGGATGAGTCAGACCATGAGACACTCACAGCTGTCCTGGGGCCTGTAGTTGCCGAGCGTAAGGCAATGAAGGGGAGCAGGCTCATCCTATCCTTGGGTGGACTAGCTCGCTCCTTCCGATTCCACTTCAGAGGTACAGGATACGATGAGAAGATGGTGCGTGAGATGGAGGGCCTTGAAGCCTCTGGGTCCACCTATGTCTGCACTCTCTGTGACTCCACCCGGGCAGAGGCCTCTGAGAACATGGTGCTACACTCGGTCACCCGCAGTCATGTAGAGAACTTGGATCGCTACGAGATATGGAGAACCAACCCCTTTTCCGAGTCTGTAGACGAGCTGCGGGACAGAGTCAAAGGTGTCTCCGCCAAGCCGTTCATGGAGATGCACCCCACGCTGGATGCGCTACACTGTGACATTGGCAATGCCACAGAGTTCTACAAAATCTTCCAGGACGAGATCGGGGAGGTGTACAAAAAGGTCAACCCCAGTCGGGAGGAGCGGCGCAGCTGGAGGGCAGCCCTGGATAAACAGCTGAGGAAAAAGCTGAAGGTCAAACCGGTCATGAGGATGAATGGGAACTATGCCCGCAGGCTAATGACCCAGGAGGCTGTGGATGTGGTGTGTGAGCTGGTGCCCTCAGAGGAGCGGAGGGAAGCCCTCAGGGAGCTTATGAGTATCTACGTCCAGATGAAGCCCGTGTGGCGTGCCACCTGCCCTGCCAAGGAGTGCCCCGACCAGCTGTGCCGCTTCAGCTTTAACTCACAGCGCTTTGCAGACCTTCTCTCTTCTACCTTCAAATATAGATACAATGGAAAGATAACCAATTATTTGCACAAGACCCTGGCCCATGTGCCTGAAATCATAGAGAGAGATGGATCCATAGGAGCCTGGGCCAGCGAAGGGAACGAGTCGGCAAACAAACTGTTCAGGCGTTTCCGTAAAATGAATGCTCGTCAGTCAAAGGCCTTTGAGCTTGAGGACGTGTTGAAACATCACTGGCTGTACACTTCCAAATACTTGCAGAAGTTCATGGAGGCTCACAAGGACTCTTCCAAAGCTCTGCAAGCCACCATTGACCCAGTAGAGAGCCAGGATTATGAGGACATGTCTCTGGACATTCTTAAAGTTTGATTTTTTTCTTTCAATGTGAAACTCAAAATGTAATTGACTTCATGATAAGCAGATACTTTTTCAACTGCCTCTGTCAGTAAAACAAATGTACTTACTACACAAATTCTTTATTTGGAATGAAAAGGGAAAAGAGCTACTTGAAGCCAAGATTTTCTTAATATTTTCATATATTGTGATAGAAGTGTTTGAAAATGTAAATCAACATAATCTTTTATTTTTTATTTGATGTAACAATACAAAAAATAAACAGTTTCTTGCATTCAAACATTCTCATTTCCAAAAATGCATACAAAGTAACTTAAATCTCCCGCCAATTTATTTTTGAAGTGTTTTGTTTTAATAGTATTTTACTTTGTTGTTGTATATCTTTTAGCTGTACGTTACCACAGTGCAATTATTAAACAGCAAAGAAGTAGCACAGGTTCCTTCTTTCTTGCTCTTCGCAGGAAAGCTTTTTTTTAGCTTCACCATCTGTGAAATATGGCACAGTTTATTGTATTCCAAGGATATGACACCTTTATGAATTTATATGGAGAGGATATTTATGGAAACAGATGAAAGTGCTGTAAGTCATGGAGGGAAATTGTGTTAAGAAGACCACATTTGTGGCCACTGTATTAATATATCATTTGGGCTGGAACAAAATGCAATCACAGAGACCCAAATGTTCTTTGTTTCATGAGTGCCCCCTGAAAAAGATTACTTTAGTGCTTTATCGTCGGATCCCTAAGGGGCAGAATAGATGCCAGGTCACTTTGAACCAATTTTGATCTCTTAGTTTTTGCACAGTGGAGGATGGATGATACTTATTCCAATTCTTCACCTAAAATAAAGCATATACTGACCTTTTTGTTGATATCATAAAAATACAGTATGGTCCATTACAAAGCCTAATACCCCATGGAGTTTCCAGCAGGTGGGGATTTTTCTTAAGTTCTGTATAAATCCTGGCTTTTTTTCTCTGCTGATATTTCTTCATTGCCAAGGTTGACAGAGGAGAAGGATGAGCGGGAGCTAGAAAGACTCTATGTAAACTGATTTGTTGGCAACTTTATTTGTCTGATTGATTGATTATATTATCTTTTTTGTGCTCTCACAATTTTGAATTTTGACAGGCAATTTTGTTTTCTTATTTGATTGAATGCTTGATTGTATTTGACTGTCATAAGGTTTAACCATGTGACAGCTGTGAAATATTCACATTTCATTCCATAGTTGTCATCTCCCCACAATACCATCCTGTTTCAGATTGCAACGTGTCTCATATTTGTTTTTTTGCAATAATTAATTGCATTTCCAAAGTAATGGATGATGGATGTTTCACGGATTTCCACTTGTTACCTTTAAACCGTCTATTTTCAAATATTTCGTTTTTCCATATTACACTAAATATCAGATATACTGTTTACAGGAGTTGTGGATAACTTTCAGTGGTGATTTATTGAGCATGTTGTATTATAATGAAGTTCCACCTTTTACTACCTTTTTACTCGTTTAACTGCTGCATTTTCACTGAAGCAGACAACTCTTACTTTTGTGTAATTGTTCCAAAGAATGAATAAATAAAGACAAAATCTGACTTGAACTTCTTGAACTTATTTTCTTATCAAACTGTATATATTTAATGATGTGTTTTATTTAAGAATTAAGAATTCATCTGTGAAGTTTCCATTAGTTTCCATTTTTAGTTTCCATTTTTAATGTATACAATATAAAAAGCTTAATGCTTTTAAGATTATGATTTCCTGACAAACTAAAACATTGTTTGTGCCCTCTAAAATATAATGTAATATTATATATATATAAAATATTTCAATTTAAAGGCATTTCATCGTTTCATTCAGGTTGCCCTATTATTTGATGTTATTACAGATTTAACTAGCAGTATAGCAGGTATTATTTATCAATACAAATGTATTTAATCATAATACCAATTTATTAACATCTGGCCCAGGGATACAGTGTTAATTCAGCCACTTATTTTCGCTGTGGGTCTTGATGAAATACAAAATATAAGCAAACCCATGCACCTTATAAATATGCAAACTACAAAAACACTGATAGACCAAAATGTTGTGTGATATAAAACAATTGAGAAAAACACATTATAATGAAACAGGTATGAAGACAGAATTTGAAAACATTTTGTTTATTAAATTGAATACAGATCAGCATATTGGGTATTTTCAGTAATCATAAAATAATTGTGAAAATAAATCAGTTCCATTTGGCCATGGAAGGAATTGTTAGGAATCAAAAGACAACGACACAAATGTACTATAAACTGTGACACAGCTATAAAACATCAAACTGGAAACATTGTAGACAGACTTGCTCAAACATTGTGAAATTCAGTTTAACATATACAGCTGCTTGGCAGGAAATATCAGGTGTCAATTTTATTGTTTAATTTTTTGACAAAATGATTCAGATTGAGGTCAGATCAGCATAATGATTTACTGATAATAAACTAAAATCATCCTGAACAACATACAATTCCTTATAGTGACCATCTACACACATTATACAAAGTATTTAACTCAATCAAAAAGCCTTCTGAAAAAGCTTTTTTTGGCAGGGGACATCTTGATGGTTGGAGGAGTTTTCCTGTCCTTAACCTTCAAGGGGGTGCGCTTCAGAGGCGTGACCTGCCGAGGTGGGGTCATCTCCTGGAAGGGCAGGCCTCCGTGGTCCATGCAGAAATACTTTTTGCTGCCCTCAGAGAGCCTGAGCAGCAGCAGCTCAGACAGCTCCATACACTGGGCATGGACCCAGTGCCCCCCCTCCCCTCTGGAGCAGAAGATCATGGCAGGCCGGAAGAGCTCAGTGGAGTAATATGGCTCCCACGTGTTGGGGTTCAGCTGACAGCCAAGGCAGCATTTCATCCAGTAGCCTGTTTGCGATTCGTCCTCCTCATCCTGCTCATTGTAATTACCCTCTTCTCCATCAATGTCCTCCAGTTCGTGAGGCTCACGGCCGAAGTAGAGCTCTTCAGAGTCTTCAAGAGGAGTGGAGTTGTCGTAATCTGTTGACTCCTGGCTGCAGCCCTGGGCTTCTTCGTCCTCTTTTGATTCCCCCTCTGTCTGGAAGCACACATGATAGAAATAATGCTCTGTTTGGGATGGCCTTCCCTCAGTAGGTACAGCAAGTATGATGGTTCCCTCCCCAGCACTGCCGCCAAACCAAGTGCGACTTTGCGTGATATCTTGGGTCCACTTAGGTGATTCTAAGGCCTCGAAGGTGATCCCTTTCTCATTTAGAATCACAGTGCTGCACTCCATCCTCTTCTGAGAGTCTGACTGATACCCCCCTAAGATGATATATCTAGTAGGACCAGTACGGCTGATTATGGCACTTGAGATGGATATGCTAGTTTCAATGGTCTCACAGGAAAGCAAGGGGCTGCCTTGCAAAAGCTCGACACGCAGGCGGAAGAGTCGAGGGGGGCGGGAGTCGGAGGAGAGCGAGTGACCACCGAGGAAGTAGACACAGTCCTCTCTGGCAACGGCTAAATGGAAAGACTGTCCGTCGCAAAGCTCAGGTAAAGTATGGGCAGAGGAGCAACCAAACTCCATGTCAAACAGGAACACCTGAGGAGGACAGTCGACGACGCTGTTCCAGTTCTCTGTGGTGCGCTCTCCTGCTGGCATGTAGGATCTACCCCCAAACAACACACAAGCTGTCTTGCCATGGCTTTGAACCATGCTCATAGTGTGGCCATATCGGGCCCCGGGTACTTCTCCCACCAGTTCCTTCTCTTTGCAGCACAGGGTCAGTTTACGATTGCAGCCACGGCTATCCATGGTCAGCAGGTACAGGCTCGTGGAGATCTCATTATTTGGGGTGCGGCCACCGTGGATGAGATAACTCTCTGGAAGCCCATCATAGGGGTCGAGGCGGCAAACAGCAGGGCAGCGCAGTGGTGGAAGGTAGCATGAGTCATTGGAGAAAGAGATGGCCCTCAACTTCATCTCACCAAGTTTAAACCGGACGCCAAACACTCCCGTAGGACACGAGCGCTTGGGCCAGCCTTTCTGGCCAAACAGGAGGACTTCACCATCCAGCTGCAGAAGAGAGAAGCCCTGCTGCAGGAGGCCTGCACAGTTCACTGGAGTTAATGGTTGTAGGGTCATCTTCCGGCAGCTGCCTGCATCAAAACAGCACACAAACACAGAAACACAACAATAAGTCAGTCAGCTGTTGATTGTTTTCATTCAGGGGATTTCAATTTGACTTCCTGTTTATTACAGTAACACCTGGAGAAACATGATCCACATAATCCAGAGGCTAAAAATATATAAACAGGGTTACACAGTCATTCATCTAACTTGTAGACTACAGTTACACAGAACAATTACATTTAGGAAAGATGTGACATGTTTATATCAGGAACGAACCTCAATGATGAAACTACAAGTACTTTTAATAACTAAGAACCTGAATAACAATAACAAGAGCAAGTATAACTTTTATTTCTTTTACATTTGAAATGTTATATTTAAAACTCTACAATGTAAACTGGCCTTTTCTAGGTAGGACACATTTGTTAGGGTTTGGTGATGGCAAAGCACAAAAAGTCATGGCACCCCTACCAACCCTAACAATGTACAGCATGTTAACTCACTGCTGCTGTTACTATGAGCTGTGTGTATGCTGTTACGGGACAACGTAGGGTTGCTTCTTCAAATCCTAAAGTCAAACATCAGCTTCACTATATAATTAAACACTCAAAAATCTACCTCTTCATGGAGTCAAGTTATTATTTTCAAGCACAAACACTATTTGAACTTCGTATGTTTGAAACAGAATATTACAGGGTGTATTTGAATGCAGCATGGGACCCAAACAAACACTCAGAAAACATGTGCATTAGCTATTGGTACAATGTATTCTACCTTTCAATGATGAATAATACAAAAAGTTACTGTATTTGTTTTCCAATTGATAAGATTATATATTTTTTTATTATAATGATTAGTTTATTCTGAGGGCAGTCTTGGATAATCTTCTTTGTTTTCCTTGCTCACTTCAACTGACACATACTACTTTAATGTCATTTTAGCAGCTTTAACAGCAATATAAATAAATACTGCTGTGGTCATTATCAGTCACTTTGACAAAGACAATGTTTGATTTTATATTACCTTCAGCAGGATGGTTGCATAGACTTTCTATAGATTAAGTAGCACAATGTAGATTTAAATTGATTTATAATAATAGTTGTTAGTTGGCTTACCTTAATGCCAGGGTCAGGATGCCGTGCTTGAGCCCACTTCAGTGTGAATCTTACAATCACAAAGGTTAACCTAACGGCATTTTTATGCAGCCAAACTTTGATAAAGGCAGACAGCTAGAGAGTTTGTGAAGCTTCGTTGCCTCACAAACACTTCCAGATCTTGAGGTTAACAGTCTGTGACTGTTGCTCTCTGGCAGGTGTGCTGCCTGAATGCATTTAGTGTATCACTTCAGAGATCACGGGCTATCAGCTATACTAAAGAAGGTACAACAGGGTCAAGTCTGTTGAACAATCTCAACCTTTATGATACATTGGGAATTTGCAGTGGATGTTTTCTTTCTTCAGTAGTTCCCAAAGAAAAAGGGATATAATGCTTTGCCACGTTTTTGAAAATGCCTTTTAAAATGATTGTGTAGTGATAAAAAAAAAAGTGAAACTGATATTCATGTTACAATATAGATAACAACTAATGCAGTAAAACATGACCTACATTGTGGAAGGAAATGCATGATGAGAAAATGTAATTTTGGAATAAGTCCAAATCATTGCTGCAAGACACACCTCTGATGTGAATATTTTATATCGAGAGGTTGGACACAGAAAAAACAAATACATAGAGAGCCACTAAGTTCATGCTCTCTGGGAAATTAAGTATTTCAGACAGACTTATTTGCTCTAGTTTGTTTCTAAAAAAAAGAATTCTTATAACTTTGGATTAATACTATCATATTCATAATAATTATAAAACCTCATGTAGACACAAAACAAACAACTGTTTGATTGTGTTTAGCTTTTTGATATCATTAAAAATGTTGGGGGAAATTCACATCTGTAATTCCTTAAAATCTTATAATTTATGACACATAGTTTCTAAAACAATTCATTACTGACGGGAAACAATAATTCTATATCTTTTTTTTACATACTTACCTTCTTGTGGATAATTGAAATTATTTTTCTTGTTTATTCATTAAGGCTCCTTATTCACACAATCTTTCCTAAACTGATTAAAGGACATAATCAAACTCATTGGTATCTAAAAGTAAGCTGCGGCCAACCATTTCAAAAATGTATTCAAGCAGTGCTTCATGAGATGAAAATGTGTATTTTCAAATGTACTGAAGAGCTTGTTTTATGTGTATACATAAATTACTATTCTGCCATTTAGATATATACTTCTTTGCTCTGCGACTAGCATTAATTGAATAGTTAGTTTTTTATCTGATGTGTGTCCCTTACCCATCATTTTATTTATTTGATCCTCATGGTAAGTCCTTTTACCTCGTTTTCGACTGGATTTTAATTGTCATTGACATCAATGAGGATACGATCCTGTAAATACTGTCATACTGCTCCTACAGTATAGCTTGCTGAAAAGATCCCCATACACGTCGTAACAAATATGGCTATTAGCTGCAGCCTGCCTTACACATAAACTCTCTCGTTCAGCGCTGAATGACATGTTGTATGAGGAGTGGGAGTCATTATTCACAAAGTACACTGAACACATCATCATACTAGGATTCTGTTTCCTGAGGAGAAGGTAAAAGAAACATCATTCTTCAACAAGGATAAATACATTCTAGCAGCTGGTTGAGTATGGATTCCCTTTGTGTATGCCTCCGTATTAATAATTTCCCCTACTATAGGTAAAAGCAGATCCCCTATATGAGTGACACCCACACGCCTGAACACATCGAGAAAACCTGAGCTGGAAGCCGCTTATTAGCATAATGTTTTTGTGCACTGAGCAGCTGAGAGAAAACTTGAGGAGTGTGCAAAACAAAGGCAGAAACCACAAGTGCCTGGAAGACCGTTACAGCTTGAAAACACAAAACAGCAGAGCACCTGTGTGTCTAAACTGATGTTTACAGGGCTGAGTGAAAGAGAAAAGAATGTATGAGAAAGGATATAACGCATGAATTCAGATGTCAGTGGGATATGCAGAATGGATTTTATTTTTTCTCTTTTTTTCAGAACTGTTCCATCAGTATGAATTCAGCCTTGAAAAAATAAACCTCTGTAGTCACCTCAAGGTATTCACACAAAGCACTGTTGAAAAGTACTGCCTGCTATGCTGCCACAGCTGGGATGGTGCGGAGCGTGAGTAGGAGGCACAACAGTGTGTGGCAGACCCCAGGCCATGCAAGGATTTGTACATAATTGATAGAACAAAGTAATTATAATCTATGGTAGCACCTGTTTCTGTCCCTTGTAATGTATCACTACCTGACTGTTGCTACCCTGAAGCGTGGTTTTGACGGATGACGCAGTGACAGCTCTGATGTTCTGACGATCATTGTGCACTGGTGTTTATCACTATTTAATGTAACGGTAATTGCTCCCCTTGTGGTGATTGGTAGTGGGCGGGACACGATCCTTCTCTGGTTTGTATTTTTGCGGTACGGTGTATGGTCATCTAGACCACAGTTCCTTTTCTTCAAAGATTATTATTATTTGCAATTTTTAGCCCTTTTAAAACAAATGAAAGCCTAGCGGCAGACTGGATACGAGGGGATGAGAAAAGGTTATAGCACGCAACAAAGCTCCCAAGATCTGAATTTGTTCATGCCTTCCCAGATTTACTTCTAAAATCATTGTAATCACTCATTTGATTCTCCTAAAAAATATGTTCAAGCACTACTAAATGCTTAAGTTTTAATACAAACCTTTTTTCTTAAATATTGCAAATTTGCAAATAACATTAACGTTGAAACATTTTTGTTGTTCTGTTAAGGGAACTAGTCTTGGTTATTAATAAACATGGCATGTAAGAAGCAAAAGGTGTCGTGCAACAAAGCCACTGATGACCACCCCACTCTAAAGCTCCCTTGAGCTCAATGGAGCGTTTAAGTATCTTTCAGCTTGTTGTTTCGGTATTTATGGCCTGGAACTTTGATGTTATGCCTAACTCTTATCAATCTTATCAAGCATGAGAAAGGACATAAGGCTGTTGTCATACATACACATCTTATTTCATCCACGTGCATCGTCAGCCCACAGACAGCCTTCAACTCCTTTCCGACTTACTGGTAAATATCAATATTTCCTCAAAAACGTATTTGGCAAAACAAATCCCTATATGGGCATTTAGCGAGCAATAGGATTGTTGAATACAAGGTGCCCATTCCATGCTCAATGTTCCCTTGCTCTGAATCCCTCTTCTTTCATCTAGTTCCTATTGTTCTTGGATCCCTGCTTTGCGAAATGTGTTTCTCCTCTGTTGTCCTCTCTCTAGGCAGGTGAGCAGTGTGGTCTGGCTGCCTTGCTGTGGCAGGATGCCAGGCATGCAGGCTGCCTCCGATACCCTGGCATCACACCAGATGCTGGTGGAAACCCTGGAGGTGTTCTGCTGCTCCTCTGAGCTCTTTGAACAGTTCATGGGTTGTGACTGTTATATGTTGAACAGGCAACCTAAAGCCATGTTTTAAGCTGATAAGCTCAGATCTGCTCTCACCCTGCCTCTCCTTTCTCCCAACAGGGAATGCAGTGAGTAGACACACAACGGCGGCCCTGCAACTTAACTGGCTCCCCGGGGGAGATGGAGGGATCATGAGACAGTGGAGGAAAAGAGCGCTCAGAGTGCACAGGGAGCGTGATGTGACAACAGCAGGACAGCTCTGCAGCTGGATCTCGCATGTGGATCAGGTCGGGGTCAGTAGCTTGTTGATCCCCCGCTGTACCCTGGACCCTTGATGGTTTGAAGCTTTGAGTATAAAAACCTGCACAGTTTACAATCAAACTGAATCCACCTCTTTGAATAACCCCTCCTCTCCCTCACCTGTCTCAGTGCTTTCTTCCTTTATATCCATCTGTCTTCTCCAGTTTATCTCCGCAGTCCTCCCTATTGCAGCAAGTCTCGATTTTCTTTAAGCAAATGGCCAGACTGTTTCAGCGCAGGGGAGTTTACTTCAGATGTGTACACTGAAGCATGAACAGGACCTAAGGCAATGCTAGCTATTGATTTTACCATGATTTTGATTAGAGGGCTCCCTGTTGCAATCAATACTATATATCAGTGAACTGCACAGTGAAACTGATGGTCCCAGATAGGGCCCCATATTTGGTTTCCAATTAATCACACTGTTCATTATTTTTTAAGATTAAAAGGCAGTTGAGTGTGCACAAGATCCCTCAGCATAAAAACCAGTTCAGCACACGAGGCCCTTGAGTGTCCAAACACAAATCGGACAGTGGATGTTACAACTAAAGTCAATAACACCACTTGACCATCATGATTAAATTGTATGGGCTGCTAGACCCTGAACGATAAGAGTATGATGAAAGATATTCCTCTCATACAGCTCTGTTTCACTGAGTGTCTTATTATCTTATTGTAATAAAAGATTAGTCTGCCGGTTTGACAGCTAGCACTTGTGGGACTGAAGGCTAGAGTGCTGGAGGTGAGGCTGGAGGCCCTTATTTTATTAATGAACTATTTAAATATAGCTGCTATTAATTGGGCAAATAATTTCATCTTGATCATGAGATGCATATGTAAGATGTGAAAAAACAAGTACTTTATGTCAGGAACAGGAATATATATATATATATATATACTGTGTAGATCTTGGTCTGGGGGCAATACAAAGATATATGCATCTTTTGAATTTAGAGGAATAACCACTGAAATCTGGCCTTTTCTTAAGTTGTAGAATTGTATCTTGAAGCTGGAAAATCAACACATATATTTATTGACATTAGAACAAATCACTAAGTGCAATGTGATTGGTGTCCTTCATGGCGACAAACCCACAGAACTACCGCCCGACTTTGCAGTTCCCGTCAGCTCGGCGTATCATTTGAACATTTTTCAGGTAATTGTTTTAGTTGAACTAAACAGACCTCGTCGATGAAGATGATATATTCAACAAGAGACACAACTACCAATGTTCGGGTTGCCGGTATTTTGTTCACAATATTTATGGTCCACACAAGTGTAATTGACATTTTATCAAAATATTGTATTCAGACCTAAACAAATCAAATATAACACTGTTGAAATTCCTCTGCTGTAGTTTGTGGTGCTAATGTTATCATGCTAACATGCTTTACTTTAACAAACATCATTCTGCAGTCAGATGGTACAGTATGAGCATGCTGACATTAGCATTTAGCTCAAAGCACAGC